ACCATAAACGGAAAGGCATCATAAACAGTGCTAAAGCCAGCAGCGTGTAGCTCATGTCTTTGCAACTCTTCAATTTGCAGTGGGCCCTTTCTGTGCCTGTACCAGCGCCAACAACAACACGTACTGGTGCCTGAGGACAATCAACGAGACCCACAACTTCCTATTTTGTGAATTTGCTACTGGATTTTTGGAGTATTTTGATCTCAACACTGATCCATATCAGGTACCCGATCAGAGAACAGCTCAAGAAATACATCATTGTTCCTTACTGATGATAAATTGAACTGGCATGGTAATGGTGGAGGACGTAGCAAAGGCCTAATTCATTTAATGTAGCATATGGCTTTTCTCCTGTCACAGATAAACCATGTATATTCCATATAAGAAAGATACTAGAGAACAGCAGTTACTAATGAGAATCCCCATTCATTGCAGCTAATTAACGCAGTGAATACACTAGATAGAGACATTCTCAATCAACTACATGTCCAGCTCATGGAACTGAGAAGCTGCAAAGGGTATAAACAGTGCAATCCAAGAACCAGGAACATGGATCTGGGTACGTGCCTCTCCTAGCACACTCAAAATGGGGCTCTTTCTTACTTACTGTTATGAAACTTCGCATCAGTCAAAAGGATTTTAATATTCATTTATACTGGTAGTGTCCTGCTGGGGCTGGTGGCTGCATGCTCACGCTTCTGTATTTGTTCAGTTTGAGGTAATGTTTCTTAAATTAAGAACAATACTGAAATAGGTTAGTAATGAGTACCGCTGAGATGCAGGGCAAAGAGATGAGGAAGGAACAAAACCCAAGTCCACCAAAGCCCAAAGTATAATATTGGTCTTATTTAGTACCTGCAGCACCCAGAGCTGTATGTTTTGAGATCAGACACCACTGAAAGTCATTTACAGAAAAGTTTTCAAGACTCCTTTCCCAGTTTACAACCTCTTTTGCCTGCAATAAGGGATTAAATGTGAGAATTAAAGCTCCAGTTACCATGTATGGAAATATTTCTCAAGGCAATGGATGATAATCTGTTAATATTCTTAGGTCTGGTTTAAGTTGCACGTTACCTGATACCTTACTCTGTTGCAGGCAATGGTTAGTAACACTGTTAATTTTTCTTCACCTAGGACTTAAAGATGGAAGCTATGAGCAGTACAGGTATATTAAATTATTATTCTTTAAGTACTACCTTCCTGCCAAAAGATATAGGGGTGGGATCAGCAACCTCATGGATGGACACTGCCTGGAATGGCAGTTGTGAGATCTTTCCACCCCAGTTACTTGGAAACACTGGAGCCGTTTCTGTTTCAATGTCACAGCATGTTCTGATCTTTATAGTCAAAATTCAGGCTAAACTCTTCTTTCCTCGCTTTCAGACTGTAGTGCTGGTGGGTTTCTTGGTGATGGTTAACTTTTTTCTCCTTTTGCTGCTTGAAAACTAGGCAGTTTCAGCGTCGAAAGTGGCCAGATGTGAAGAGACCATCATCTGCCAAGTCACTGTGAGTTGGGAGCAGTTCACAGAAAGCGTTGGCTTTTACTTACCTACCTACCTTCCCTTCCTTTCTCTCCTTGCATGCAACACCACTTTCAACATCATCATCTCTTCTTCTGGAATGCTTAAATGGGAAATCCTCTACCTTGTACAGGAAGTATGATAGTGCTACCATACAGTCAACTACTGCTGTACAGAAACACTTGGTGCATGTTCTGGGAGCATCAAGAGCAAGGGCAAATAAGCAAAGGTGGATGCTCAGCTCAAGAACACAGTTATGATTGTCATTCAAAATTTCAGACCATTATGTTGATTTTGTCTAAATGCAAATCTGTAGCAGCTGCCTCGTGGTCTTTCACACCATCCAGAAAGAACAAAACTGACTGATTTCTCAGAGGATCATGTATTTTCTTGCTATTATTTATCCAACCACAGCAAAGTGCAAGTTAGAACAGGGAGTAGACTACAAGACAGATCCGTACCTTTTGGTTTTGTTTTATTCTGACATCATACTAAAATCTAAGTTTGCTTTTTATTCACTTCACTTAACTACCTTTTAAGATTTGATAATACTGTTTTCAACTTGCCAGCGTCCAAAGGTGAGATACACGTTTAAAGATGTGAAAAAGTGACCTTTGCCATGCCAGTTATTGTCTCTGAATCTCCTCTTCAGAAGACGGTTGAACCATCAGCTCTTTAAAAATCATGAGGTGCTCTCCAATTGTGCAGCGAAAAGAGATGCACAGATACCTCAATAGGCACAGCCCAGCAATCCCAACTTGCCAGAGAGGATTTGCTCATTTAGTGGTACTATCGTTAGTTGAAGAGACCCAAGACTGACTTTAGAACTAAAACAAAGTAAGAATTTCTGAGATACAAGTTTTGTACGGGGTGAAGTTTCAGATATAGTTGGACTGTTTCTGTGATATACCTGCTGTAAGTTTTAGAAGGGGTCCATAATGTGTTTCAGTTGTTTTTTTCCTGCATGGAACCATGACAAATATCTAACTACTTCCTCCTAGAAGGACACTAAATCATGTTCTGTTGTGTTTTTCAGAGGACAGCTGTGGGAAGGCTGGGAGGGCTAACCTCCCCCAAGTGCTGCACCTCCATGAGGATACAGACTGGCCAGAACTTGAGTCCATGTACAGACTAAATGACAACGTGTGTGACTTCAGAGAGAATTACATTAACCTGGAGGACTGGATAAACTTTGAGGCTGAACTAGATAGAATGTTTGCACTGGTGAGTGAACTAAATACCTGCAGTGAAATGATGGGAAATGCTGTCAGAAATACAGGTCTCTGAAATCCACTATTGTACCTGCTTTTTGCTTTGGATTATACCTCACCTGCTTCACAAGGCGTTTTACTTTGAGATGACACCACTAACACTGATCCAGGAACTGACAGCAAAGGAAACACAGCTACATCCCAGAGAGGATTCCCGCCCCAGCGCACAGTGTGCGCAGGGACAGCGGATGTACACTTAAACCACGCTTCAGTTCACCTGTATCAGCAGTTGTCATGAGAGAGACTTCAAAGCCAAGTACAACTCTAAAGCAACATTTAGAAAACGTGAACACTTTTGCTTCTAACTGGAGATGATGAAAAAGAACTTGGAAGAGAATCAGGAACTGAAGGGAGCAGCACTGAACATTCTCAACACCATGGTATTTCTCAACTTCCCTCTGAGGATACATTTTAGTTCCACACCTACTTGTACATCCTATTGCCACCTCTAGGAATGTTAGGGAAAATCTTGACTAAGAGGACGCCAGATTTTGGAGGGGTTATGTAAATATTGCTCAATATACTGTTTGAAAAGAAATTCCTTCAGGTTATGAAGAATTTTGTTAATAAAAAGAGTGGAATGCCCACACACCAGTTCTCCAACTGTCACTTCATGTCACATAGTGCATTTCAGGATTTCTCCGTTTTTAAAGTACTGAAAAATTTCAGTAAATGTACATCTTAAAATTTAATGAACTTGGATTTGTATGAAGTTTTTTTATGTGGTAATATTATATTGTATGTTCAAAACCAAAACAGTTCCTTTGAGGAAGCATTTGCTTGGTAGTGTAATTTTGACATTTATTTTTAAAAAGGCAGCTCCAAGAAGTTCAATACTTGTAGCCAATAAAGAATAATCTAGTTAAGAGTTTAGTCTACAAATCAGTAGATGTTCTGAACAACAGTTACTGTTTAAAGGCTTTTAATGGGAACACCCCATCATTTTACTACAGAAGCACAGTGTACAGAGGCTACTTGAGTATTTTCATAAAGACGTTATTAAATACATTGTAGTACAGGCACTAGAGGTGATATTTGTATTTATACGTTTTTCATGTTAACCTGCTGTTTTCAAGGCACATGCAGGAGGGAGCTCGTGTGACAGACTCGACCAACCGTGGCCTTCACTCTTAACAAAGAGGTATTTATTTCCAAACCACAGATTTGACTTGCACTTCCAGAAACACCGTGTAAAGATACACCACCACAGACATGATTCTGAAACCCTGCCTGGCTTTGCACATCAGGAAATTCAAATGGGATTACTTCATAAGGGACACAGATCTCTGATACCACACCCCCAGACTAAAAATATACTTGAATTTAGGAACCGAGGAAAAAGCCTCACTCCAAAAAGTGGCACTGGGGTCTTTCACTGGATGTGTTAGACAGTAAAGCTAGGCTGGAGCTTCTGTTTGTATCACATCTAAGTCAAACACACTTCCCAAAACTTGCTTCCCAGGTTTTGATTTTTATTTTTGTTTAATCTAAGTAATATACAATTGTCTGAATCCAGCCACAGATTTGGTTTCTGACATGTTACAGATTTCATGGATTATCAGAAACATCTCCTAGATGCTGAGGTCTATACAAATAAATAAAGAATACTGAATTTAAACTCACCAGTAGAAACAGATCTGCTGCTTTCCAGAGAAAGGCACTTGCTGTCTGCCATCCCCTGTGAGTATGCACAGAGAACACTGGCTTAGATTGAGACAAACCTGCACTTACCTTTTTGTTGTGTTCAGCCTGTAGTCTGTGATGAGATGAGGGTGTGACTGTCGCAGTCCTGCGGGGCCAGTGTGGCTTCTCCTCGTAAGCCTGAGAAGTTGCCGTGTCCCTTACACAGAAACCTGAGCCTTGGGCCTTGTAAGGGGGACGCAGTGTAGCTGGTATTTTGTGAAAGGTAGGTTCTTACCAAGTTACGGGAAACCTCTAACCTCTTCTCCTCCAGCTCTGCTGAAGACTGCTCTTTAAGTTGAAAAAGACATAAATTCCACTTGGTGTCACTGCAACTTCAGTTGCTAAACGGGTCTCATAGATGCAAGGTCCAATTGCCACTCCCTTAGCTCCTACAGTCAACTAGGAATTAAATCATTTGCTATACCCACCTTTCCTCAGTAATAGCACTGGATTTTCTCTGACCTTTCTAGGATACAGTTATCAGCCTTAAAGTATTGACAGCTAAAACACTGCATCACCAAGCTCCGATTTTAAATAGAAACCTTTATTTACATTATTATTAACATCCAAACACAAAAATCAGAAGAGCAGTAATACCTTACAACCAACTCTTTTATAGATCAGTCCCATGATTTTGTTTTGCAAAATAAAGATACAGATATTTCAAGCAATACTTATCATGTAAACTAAACTTAAATGCAATTCTCAATACTGTATGCCTTCTCCTGAGATTTTTTTAAATATTGCTCTCAGAATTCCATGTTTCATCTTGCTGTATTACTGTCATCTGGTAGTCTGCACAGAAATTCTAAAATAAAACATGTGCTAATTGGTACAACATTCAAATAGTTTTGTCTTATGACTCAAAAATGGTCCTGATTTGCTAACTTTAAAAGCAGTATTTTAGGCCAAGATTCAAAAAATAACACTACACATGAATCTATAAAAACATGTTTCTGTGACCAAAAGAGTAGCAGAGATGTGTAGCATGACGATGCTCATGAGGCAGCACTGACCAGAGGTGGCTGTCCTTGCTAACTGTCCTCTTCCTGGTGAGAAATGGTACACAGGTTGGTTTTTAAAAACATTCAGAAAATCTGCTGCTATCGAACCAAACCAGAACTGGCAGAGATTAAATGTCAACAGCTTTCCAGGTCAGTTTTATTTCCTGCAGTGAGATTTTCAAGCTTGATGTCATATTTAGGATCAGTGCTGCCAGGAAAGATGATGCACTTCAGCAAACGCCCCTCTCCCCCCCTTACTCAAGTTTAAACTAAAAATCTTTGGATTCAGCAAAAAAGTAAGTAAGTAAGTACTGGAAAGCGCCAACATTCTAAACACAGATGAGAAAACGATGGTTCTTTCTAATATCAATCAGTCAGGTACCAGTTATACACAGATGTATAAATAGAATCACTCATTTAAAAAGAACTAGAAGGGCAGGATGTATAAATTAGTAGATAGTCTAAGAGCTCACCTGATGAAAGCAACTGGGATTTGTAGTTTCCATCAATATCATGAACAACTACAAAATATAAAGATTGTTCTACTCTGATTTGATATAAAAAGCAAGGGATTGTTGCCTTTCAGCTTCAATAGGCAGCATTTAACAAAGAGATATGTTCTACGAAATAAGAAAGATAAAAGTTGCTTAAGCTTTTAAAAGTTTTGCATTAAAAAACACATGAACTGGACTGAAGATTTCAAATAAATACTAACCCTAACCTGTATACTGCAGAGTATAACTGCAGAGACAAGGTTGCATAAAGTAAATCCACTGAATCTACATTCCCTTTGGAACACAACTGGTTGTGTGCTAAGGATGAACTTTCGGAGCATATTTCTAGTTAAAGTTAGTCACTTTGTTAAAATGGAAGATCACTGAATATTCTGAGCAATAAACCCACCTCTTGCTTACAGGTCCAAGAAGAAGCAATCAAGAACTCAATTAGGTTATTTTACTCACTTAGGAGAAGTCAGTTTTCCATTACAAGAGAACAACAGAACAAAAGCACCACACATTTTAAGCGTTCCTGGGTCATCCCTCATGGAAGTTGAGGGGTTTGACTTGTTGGAACTGCCTGAAACTGAAAAAACTCCAAAGGGCTCTTTGTATCAAGGAACCAAAATAGAGGGATGAGGGGGGAACCTATTAGCAAGTAATAGGAATGCATTTGTAACCAGACTTAAATACTGACACGAGATAAACCTGCTTAGAAAATACATTCATTATGATTGAACAATCCAATGAGGTGCAGACATTTGGTTAAATAAAGCGCAGCTTAATATCCGTATAGGTGTCTGGATGTCATGTAACAACAGGCATTTGCAATAGACAAACTTTTTCTGAAGAACATTTAGATTTCATTAAAATTGACCAAAAAAGACAACCGAGATTCATCAACTGAAAAGGCAACATACTCTAGAAAGCCATGACTGTCATGACAAGTCAGAACACCTCACAATGCAGAGCCTTTTTTGTCAATTTGCCTTATGTAAGAAGAAACGCAACAAAGTGCTCACAGGTGGAGAAAGCATTTAACAACTGGTCTTTTATAAAAAGCTATGTGTCTGTTAAAGATGTAAAAATAAATGAAGTGTTGAAGACCAAAGAGGAGAAAGATGTGGGCCAAAGTCACCCAGCTGCAAAGTCATTAAATTTAATTAAAACCAAAGAAAATTCTATTTGGACCTCAACTACACTGAGTTTACAGAAATCAATGTTGTTAAATATTTAGCTTCACAAACTCTGCAAAAATGAGTTAGTGACCTACAAAAGTCATATATATAATACATTATCTTAAAGATCATATTTACAAAATTTATTCACAAAAAGACTGCAAAACTCTGATTCAGACTGCAGTGCCTTGCCTTGAGTTTTCTGAAGTTGTTTTCAAAAGATGAAGGATTATTGCTCTAATTTTCCTACACAGAAAACCTTACATTATGCAGTCTTTTCAGATAATTCTTACGAGATTGTGTTTGAGAAGGAACATGAGTACACCTTACCTTCATATTAAGTCCTTATCAAAGATATTGCATTAATCCATTATATAGTCTTTCATAAAGTGCACTCAGCTGCACATCAATATGTAAATATTAGTCACAATTGTGTTTAAATAATTTAAATTTATTACCCTCTCTTTTTACCCCGTGGCTGCAAAGGACAGGATTTTGGACTAGTATGTGCCAATTCATGTTGCACCAATACCTTGCTTGGGAAATCCTGACTCGGGGTAAGAGATTAAAAGCAGCATTTATATTCAGGAATTAATATAAGAGTCAAGGCTAGGAACTACATTCTCTGTCAGATACTGTTACTAGAGAAATCAGAAACTTCTTACCACTGTGACTTCTCCAGGCACTTCTGTCCGCCTGTAGTTGGTGAAAGGGCTGTGGGTAGCCACAGTGGCTAGATAAGGTAACCAGGACTCTACCCATCGTATCTGCTAACTCGCCACTGCCTAATTCACAGTTCTAGAGGCAGAGCGCCAAGAATATTTATGACCTTCTTTTGTACACCACGACATACAGTAATAAGAGAGACTGCTTCTACTAAAATGCATTTTTGTAGAGTTGTTGGTTTTTTTTTGCCTTGGGTTCTTTTGTCCCTTGAGTGAACTAACTTATGACATCGTGGTGATAAACAGGAAAACCCACTTGTTTCCATAAGGCCAGGGTTAGTTGCCGTGAAGAATGCGTAGCTTTGCTTTATAATACTAGTGCATCATTAATACAGCGCATTCTTGTGTGAAGAGATGGTTGGTTATAGGTGTCAGCAGTATTTCTGTTAAAGAAAAGGAGAAATAATCACCAGAAAATAAAAAACACCTTTGCTGAAAAAAACTGATCAACATAGTGCATTTTGAAGGGGAAAGTGCTGACAGTCAATTTCTAAGCACAAGGACAGCATTTTAGTGCTCCACTTTGGAGATAAATCCATAGAGAAAAAACACCCTCCCAAAACCTCCTAAACGTGTTGTTTGAGTACCTTCACTGTGTGACACATGGGGTTGGAAAATCTGGTATTTCACCTTTGTTTTTCCCACTTTATCAAAGGTACTTGTTAGATCAAAATCCTCCAATACCTTCCTGATCCCCCAGAAGTCCTCATTTTATTTTGGGTGCTTCCTTAGACAAAATTTCACAAGGTATGTTCTACTTAAATAAATTTAGCTTATCTCAGTTTTACATTGCTCATCCCTTGGCAATTTCTGGAAAGATTACAGCAGAAGTATATTCAGTATTTAAGTCTTCCTTGCAGTGACTGTTATTAGCTCATTTTTCCCCTCTAATAAGGGGCCTAAATTTTCCATGGTTTCTTCCTATGCACACACAAGGTTTTCTAAAGAATTTAAGGGTAAGTGTCAGTGGCAGTTTCTGTCAAGAGGAGAACACTGTACTACCACGATTCTTGGTCCAACTCGTGAAAGCTGTTCTACAGAGTCTTCTACATCTGCTGAAGATGCTTTTCATAATCTCCATGTTTTGCTTTCTGGGGTTTCTCAAGGCTCCAGAAGTATTTAAACACGCTTTGTGTGGTATAAGCCTTGATCCTACCTCTGATCCTTCAAAGTCAGCATCTAATCACAGCATACAGCTTGGGCTAACAATGGATTTGATTTAAATATCAAAAATGAGGTATCTTGAGACATACAAATAGTAGGTTCACAGACATAAATACAAAAAGTACAACTGAGAACAGGATTGCACCAGAGGAATGGCTTGAAGCAAATAGTTCTCAATGGGAAGAGAGTCAACAGATCCCTTCAACCACATTTCCATACAGCTTACCTGGTCTGGACCCATAGGCATCCCTGACATGGGCATGGTATTAATATTCATCTGTCCCATATGGCCGCTGCTGCCATTCATGTGCATCATGCCATATGCTGCTGGATTGGCCTGATGGCTGAACTGCTGCTGGGGGAAAGAACTGCAGCACAAAAGGATAAATAAAGTTACCCTACACATTGGGATATTGCCTTCCCTGCACCCACTGTCAATGCATGAAAGACAAAACAATTTTCTACATTTGTTTCTGCCTAATACCTGTTGAATGTAGAAACAGAAATTTCCCCTCCCAAAAGGAACTCTGAATTTTCAGAAACACACAGAAGCGTGTGTGCATTTCCTGCTGTGACGGCTTTGGAGGCCTCTGTTAGGCTGCACCATCCATTATAATACTACTGACAACTTTTGTATTACCCCAGGTTATTTTTTTCATTATCCAAAGACTGCAGAGGTCCAACATCAATAAATGGACATACGCATGAGACATTTAATTTCCTAAACCAGAGCAGGCACAAGGGCAATATAGAAACCAGAGATACAATTATTTTTCTCCTCTTCTGAAGCCTTTTCCTACTACAAGCTACTTAACATAGCTTCTATTTTGAACACAATCAAAGACAGTTTTTGACCTACAGGCTATAAATGTGCACTTCACCTGCTCCTGGCCATGCTTCCCGATGGCCAGCCCTTCATCTCAGGGGACTGGTACATTGCTGCTGTCTGAGGATGCTGCATCATGGGATTTTGGGAGGGTCCCATCCTTGATGACATCATTGGGTTGGGAGGGCTTGATACTCTGGTAAATGCAGGATCAGGTTGTTGGCTCATCCCTTTAAAAAGGAAGGAGAGACAAGATACTTCAGTTATCATCACCTAGTACTTTTAGGGTTGTTTTTTTTTTTTCTTGCAATGATGGGAAGGCAAAAAGGAAGTATTTTGTAAGAGCATTTTCCATATTTCAGAATTCAATTGGTATTTAGGTAGCTTGGATGAAGAAAGGGAAAAGAAAAACAGACAGACAAAAAAAGTCCACAGTATCACTAGTACCGTAATTAGGTGGATAGGGGAATTGCTGTGAAGGAACTTGAGGCATTGGTGGGCCCGTCAAAGCACTGTCCATGCTTCCTGAGGCAGTCACATTTGGCGGTGGACTAAAGGCCTGAGGCTGCTGTTGCTGCTGCATCATCATTGCCATCCTCTGTTGTCTAAAATGATGACTTATTAGCTCCCTGTTACGCTGAGCCACCATTTGAGCATTCAGAAAACCTTGCTGCTACCCCCCAAAGAAAAGAAAAATCATATTAGAAAACACTTTTACAAATGAAATCGTGTCAGAGTCAATCAAACCACCTACACACCTCCTAACTCTGAGTCCCAGCATATCCATTACCAGAACAGAAAGATAAGAAAACCCACAGCCAGTACAAAAAAAAAAAAAAAAAAAAAAAAATCAGAATATCAGACAAAGGCTTTCATTAAGTTGCCATTAGTGCTAAACAAATGACAAAGTACATTAGCTATCACATCCTACATGGAAAAGACTACTGGCACGCTTTATTGGCAGCGTGTCCTCATGAACGAAGCCCTCTGAAATCTCAGTGAGGTACAAACCCAACTTTTTTAACTGTACAGAGGAGCAAGCAAAACAAAAAAGGAATGCTGTGGAACAGTGCAAGAAGGTGCAAGGTCTAAACAGACAGGTACAAGACGTGCCTATTTAAAAATCACTGCTTCAGATGGTTGGTGTACTTACTTACCTGTGACCCCACCTGTGGCTGCATAACTGGTCTCATCACTGACGTACTACCACTGACTGGGTTTTCCATTTTCATTTCAAGCGCTTGACGGGTCTGATTCATAAACTTGGAAAAAGACATTTTTGCACAATTAGCTTCAAAATACCAATATCTGAACAAAGTAATGGCAACTCCCCCAGAAGAGAGTCTTTACAGACCTCTTGAATCCATCAAGCACAATGGTTAATTTTTGCCTTGCTTGATGTACCTGAAGTACCAAGCTATTTGATTAAGCAGCTCAAACACACACAAAGAAAATCCCTCCAAACAGCACAGCAGTAACTGGCTTTATTTCTATCTTCCCTTGAGATTAGTGCTCTTTAAGCACTAATATATATATATATATATATATATATATATATATATATATATATATAGCAGGCTACCTAGTTGTTCCAAATCATGTTTGGGGCAGAAGGGTATAGCCACCAGCTTTGCTTGAAATAATAAAGTTCAGTTTCCTTCCCTCACACTCACAAAACTCCAAAGCCATACATATTGAGTTCCTGTCACAGAAAACCAGGAGAGAACACAGACTTTCCTAAGGATCAAACATTGCCATTCCGTGTCACACAGCATTCTCTCAGTTTTCCAAGTTTTCTTTGTACATTGTATTGGATATCAGGACTGCACCTTCACATGGGGAAGTCAGTGCATGCAGCAATTTTTTAAGCAATGCTTTAACCCAGTGTTAAGATCTGTTCAGCTGTAACTACTCTCTCACCTTTCATCCTAAGAAAATACCCTAAAATAACAGCAAACTGATAAATAGAAAGCAAATCTGATTTCAATGAGCCCATATGACTGATTAGAAAACATAATGAAAAAAAAGTAACATTTGATTAACAGGAGAAATGCAGCTGCCCGCTTAATGGTATCAGTGAGATTCAGGAAAAAACACTAAATCTGAACGTGGAGATAAAGAGATCATTCAGGGCTGCGTCGTACAAGAGAACTGTGGTAAGCAGCAGTAATAACGTCTGCTGCAGGCACCAGTCCCCTCTGTAGCTAAGGAGACTGATGAAGGAGGAACAACTGTCCTAGTAAAAGTTCTTTCACTCCTACAGCCATTAGGTGCTCAGTGTGAAAGGCACTGTCAAAATGAAAGATCCATCCTTTCAATCACCTGCTGTAATGTCAATTTTCCTACTCGTGAAGCAACACAATTCAGTGTGCACTTGATTCCATTCCGAAACAAGAAGAAAGTGTAAATGCAGGAGCAAGACGTTACCTGCTGCCCCTGAAGCCTCTGCTGGAGCTGCATGCGGAGCTGCTTTGGGGTATTGGTTCGAGGTCTCATCACGCTTGCTCTAGGATGCATACTTTGGAGTGGAAAATTGCTCTGCTGGCTCATCTGATTCATCACTGAATTAAAGGATGGCTGTTGTCCCTGAATGTTACTAAAACCTCCTGGCATTGCTGCCCCTTGCCCTTGATAGGGCTGACCATACAACGAAGGCTTCTGGTCAATCATAACTGAAGATTCCTGACCTTGAAATGAATCTTGTTTGGGTTCCAAAGCTTGTCCCTTCAACAGATACAAAAGTGTTTTCACTAGCAGTATATTTTTAAAGTAGGAATTCCTAACGAAATAATAAAGCTAACACAGCATACAAACACCAATAGTTTCTTGGGTAGAACACAGCACGGACAGATAACTATTGGTTTTGTCTTCACACAAGTGAAAAGTTATTAATAATAATAAATTCTTTAAAACTCAGTTCTGCTGCACACTGCTTACACAGGCATATTCAAACCATATCACACTTTTAAACTTCTATTTGTACAAATGACAGTGTGATTTTGTGGTTTTCAGCAAGTTCCATATTATTCACAGAATTTCTTTTCCTTATCTGCTAGCCATGCAAATTCAAGGACTGGAGGAGACAGAAGTCTCCTACTCCCTAACACATCACTGCCAGTCAAACATCTCAAAACCCAAGCTCAGCTGACAACAGCTTACTAACAAAACCCAACACAATTCTCTGCTTATAGAATTATAATAATTTGCACTCAAAAAAAACACCCTATACGCAAGACATATTACAATGAACTAAAATGTCATTTTATCTTCTTGTAACGCACAAGAAAGATAATCAATACTGAGCTTGTCCAGTGAAAATCACTACTCAGTGTAGATGCTTCCAAAGCCAGATTTAGGTAAACCAAGACAAAGAAGTGAGGAGACAGAGCAAACGAGGAGGTCTTCTTCACTTTCTTTTCAAGTAACACAATAATATGGGGTTTGGAAAATAAATGGCCAAAATCTCTGTTTACTTACCTGGTTTACGAGATCAGGAATTCCTAAAGCTCTGTCAATTTCTTCCAGCCCCGTGACATCCGTGTTACTCAGCAAGGTGTGCAGCTGATCCAGAAGTGCCCTTTCATCATTCTGGCCTTCCATATTTGGTGCCGGACATAAGAGGTCATCCAAAGAGCTCCTAACCAATTGTCTAGAAATATAAAAACATCCCAGCCATTATGGACTATAAAGGCAAACACATAGTTTTTATACAATAATTGCCCTAGAGTTGATTAAGTACTATAATCACCCAGAAGATGGAAGTAAGATTCAAGAACTTAAGTCCTTAATTCAGGTCCTAAAAAGTCCAGTCAACAGCCATGTACCCTTGAGCCCACACAGATTATGCTTTCTCCTGGCTTCGGCATGTGCCACAAAGACACAATAACAGATTTTCTCACTTCTTTTCTCCGTGCCTCCCTACGTAAGGACTGACTCACTTTGTTAGCAAAGCCTTTGTGGAGCTGGCTCAAGAGATACCCAACGTCATAGGGATTTTTTACAGAAGCATGCAATGACAGGACAAGGGGGAATGGTTTTAAACTGACAGAGGGGAGATTTAGATTAGATATTAGGAAGAAATTCTTCCCTGTGAGGTTGGTGAGACTGGCACAAGTTGCTCAGAGAAACTGTGGCTTCCCCATTGTTGTGGTTTAAGCTCAGCCAGTAACTCAACCATGCAGCTGCAAACTCACACCCCGCCTCTGCCCCTTCTTCCTCCCTGCTCCTGAAGGGACAGGAAAAAGAATCGAAAGAATGCAACTCCTACAGGTTGCAATAAGCACAGTCCAGCAACTAAGGTATAACACAAAACCACTGCTGCTACCACCAATAATAATAAGGGAAATAACAAGGGGAAAGAACACAGAACTAAAAGGGGAAAAGGAAAGCAAACACAAGTGATGCACAATGCAATTGCTCACTACCCTTCAACTGACACCCAGTCCGTCATGAGCAGTGATCTCGGCCTTCCAGGTAACTGCCCCCAGTTTATATACTGGGCATGATGTGCTGTGGCATGGAATAACCCTTTAGCTAGTCTGGGTCAGGTGTCCTGTCCCTGCTTCCTCCTGGCTTCCCACGCCCCTCATTGGCAGAGCATGAGACTGAAAAGTCCTTGACTGGAGTAAGTATAGCTTAGCAACAACTAAAAACATCGGTGTGTTATCAGTGCTGTTCTCAGACTAAAGTCAAAAACACAGCGCTGCACCAGCTACTGAGGAGAAAAATGACTGCTACTGCTGAACCCAGGATACCCATCCCTGGCAGTCTTCAAGGTCACATTGGATGGGTCTAGTGGAAGGTGTCCCTGCCCGTGGCAGGTGGCTGGAACTGGACGAGCTTTAAGATGCCTTCCAACCAAAATCACTCTGCGATTCTATGATTCACAGCAACAGCAGAAATGGAAACAGATTCTGACTCCAACCTGTTATCTCCACTGTGCATTCTTCAAATCACTGCTGCTACCACCAATACTAATAAAGATAAGGGAAATAACAAGGGAAGAGAATACAACTGCTCACCACCCGCTGACCGATATGCAGCCCTACCCGAGCAGCGATCTAGCCCTTCCGGGTAACTGCCCCCAGTTTATATACTGGGCATGATTTGCTCTGTTATGGAATACCCCTTTGGCTAGTTCAGCTCAGGTGTCCTGTCTCTGCTTCCTCCCAGCTTCTTCTCCTCCCTGGCAGAGCATGAGACTCAGAAAGGCCTTGGTCAGAGTAAACATTACTTAGCAACAGCTAAAAACATCGGTGTTATCAGAGTTGTTCCGAGGCTGAAACAACAGCACTGCACTAGCTACTAAGAAGGAGAAAAATGACTGCTACTGCTGAACCCAGGACAATGCTATGTAATTTTCTTTTTTCTAGGTCTTAAATTCAGACAGTGAACAGTTGTATTTAAACTTATCTTAAAACTCTCCCCGATTCTACCTGTTTTGTGAACCCCGCGATGCTTGCTCCATGGAAAGCATGCTGTCGGGCCATGCTCCTGGTTGGTTAGATGGTCCTGGCTGTCCATATGGATTCCCCCCCATGCCAACGTTCATCTCATTTGGCCCTGTGAGATAAAATGTGTGTGGGTTTTAAAAGCAAAAGGTGTCATCTTGCTCTCCCAGTGTTCACATAAAGCACTGTGATGGACGATCACACAAACTGTCAAACAGCTTCACAAGCTTCCCTTTAGCATGTTTTCAAGTGTATACACACTAAACTCACACTCAGGATAATTTCAGGAATACATCAACCACAGATTTAAATATGACAGTGTGGATCTAAAGCTACTACCCTGCTAGTGCAGAATCCTTCAGCCCTTAAATAGGAACTTGATGGATACAGCAACTTTACATCCAAAGAAAATGGGGTTTCTGGCCAATGAAATCTGGGCACTAGCAAATACACATTGTCCTAGTGACATCAACATCCGGCATTTTAAATTCCAGAATAGAGAACATTGAAATAATCACAAGGTACATAGTAATTTGCTCTTCAGTAGTATGATCTTCCTGCTACCTAGACAGAGACAAACAGCACTACCCAGGACAGCTTGTCATCACATTATTTCCCAATATTTGGAGAAATCTCCAGCAATAACAGTTTCTAGGAAGTGAAGTTGAGGGATTCTGAATCAGTCAGGACTGCACAAATTTCTTCCTGATTTAGCCTTGCATCCACCTGTCACATTGAAATAGCAAGTCTGCCTAAGAGAACTGGTACCAGCCCTGGTAGCCTTCTGTGATCGGAATATTAAAAAGGAATGCCGCCCTCTATTTTGGCCCTTTTGGGGCATGCTGGCAGTGGCACAACAGACAGGACAACTTCAGCTCCAGGCTAGACTGCTGTTATAATGATAAAACAGGAAAAAAACATAGACTGTAAGACTCTTCCTATTTTAGACATGCAGCTTATCTTCTCCTATTAAACGTGAATATTTAAGAGAGAATCTGTATTTCAGTGTGGGTTTGTATCAAAATCTGGATACTCCATGTGAGAAGAATTTTGAAATACTCAAAGCTTTAAAACCCTGATTACCATGAAGTCAACATCAGAAAAACATCTATGTCAAACACAATAAATTAATCAGGATTGTAGTATCTTCAAATATAATCACACATGGCATGAACCATCTCTGTATGAAACACACAGATATCACTAGAAGAAAACAAAAAGACCACCAAAAAGTCATTACATGTCCCAGTCTGGGAACAAGAACAACCTTTGCCTCAAAGGCCTTTGCTGAAAAGCTACTGTTTGTCCAAACCCAAACAGATTCTTGATGATGAATGCTTACTACAAAACTAATGAGTCTGTGTTAACCAGGACAGTACAACGTGAGGAACTTACGCATGTGAATCATTTGCTGCTGCAGCATTGGTCTTGTGCCAGGCACACTGTTGGAGCGAACAGGCAGCCCCGGCATAGAGGCACCCATCGTGGGTCTGGGAAGGGCCGTGCTGAACTCAGGTCCTGCTCTCAACATCGAAGCAGAATTTGTAGGGTCCAATCTGTTCACCTTCGAGTTTGGCAAACCCCAGTCTCCTGACTGATGCTGATTCATCACTACATTCCTATTAGGAGCACTTACTGTAATGAAGAACAGAAAATACAATAATTTTCAACTACAGTACATTACATACTTCGGATTTCATCTATTTTAAGGGGGGTTGGGTTTGTTTTACCAACAAGGACACCTGCCAACAACAGAGCAATTCACTGAACTCCTACAAAAGAATCTCAAGCTTACTCTGCCAAGTTCTAAAGCATCAAACAGTTGTATTAATCTACTTTAAAATATTAATGGCTGCCATTGTGACCTGTTCTTGCCTTCTATATATTAAAAATGTATGTTCAATACAAAACTCAAAATAGTATAAAATAACTACTAACTGAAAGTAAAGTACTGGTAATACTACACAGCTAGTGGACAGTTCTTCAAATTTTAGCTAGGGCTAGTATTTATAATACTTATGGTAAAAGTATTATTCTTTAAGGTTTCTTTTGACCAAAATTCGCATTATAATCCTGCAACCTTTTTACACAAAAGCTTCTTCCTTTACAATGACACAAGCAATTTGTACATGAGCAACAAACCCATATTTGCTCCAAAATTTTCCTGGTTTTCCATCATTCTTGGACTTCCACCCATCAAATTTTGCTTTTGTAACATGGAGAATGCATTGATGTTCCTCGCTGGAACACTGGAGCCCACAGGACTGTCTAAAGACATGGCTCTGCTGAAAGGCGGGCGGGTGGCCTGCATAGCCTGGGGACTCCTCATACCTGTTAAAGCAGTAAAAAAATGCATGCAACTATGTTTTGAATAGAAAGTACCATTAATAACTTAAATAAGTCTGATCCATTTATGGGCACAGATATTTGACCTTAAAAAAGCCAGGAAGAGCTTCTGTATTTGATGTTCTTACTACACAAATCATACTTCAAGTGCATAGTTAGGACCTTTTACAGGAAAAGCCAAATGCAGTTCCCCTTGGCTCTAGACATAAAAAGGTGCATTTTAAATTAAGCTCTGTAATGAAGCATGGTTTTAACATTTTGAAACACACTAGTACTACAAACTCCTTGAGAAAGAGACAGAGAGAAAAATAACTATAGATACGAGTGGGATGCCCAGCCTTGGGATAACAGAAGAGACAGAGACAGAAACAAGTCAAATGCTTCTGTCTGGAACAGGCTGAATCGAGACACAACATGTCCCTGAGCAGTGGCTAATTAACACAGAAATCACTGCGCTCCACACCCAAAAGCTGCAGTAGCTTTATGTATTCATGTACCTGTTTTCACATTTTTCATTATCCATGTTTCACCTCCTTAGGTTACCTCAGCAATCTACTGCCCTATTCAATCAAGAGATGACCAACATTATGAAAGGAAGTGACAACTGCAATGACACTGCTCTGGCAAGGTTATCATTCCCTCCTACTCAGCTTCCTACTCAGCAAGGGCATTCCTCTCAATGTTGAGGAATACTCATCAGAATTTACAGGCCACAAGTGTTTTCGAACAGCATAAGTGGGCAATCAAAAACTCAAAAAATGTTTATCCTAATGTCTTTGAGAAATCTTTGTCAGGCAAACTCAGAAAAAAAACATAAAACAAGGAACTGAAGTTAATGCTATTCGTTGTGTCTATAGTAGATGAGTGCTGCAAGACAATAGGACAATACATCATTACACTATATGTAATGTATATACACTGTGTTTCATAGCCTATGAAACATAGCCTTTTTGCATGACATTTGTCCTTGAAGATAAAGAAGATCAAGAAAGTACTCCCTAAAGATTTGAGGATGTATTATGTTTACATCAGGCAAGAAGAAAACTCTAAATTTAAACCCAAAGTAATATTAATTTCCTTACCCAATGAGGCATTTCCTTGAAATAAGGCTTGCTTTGTTCCAAGGTTAGTTCCATTTGCAGACATGGCATTATTGTAAAACTCTGAACTAGTCAGATCACCTAGAATTGCATCCAAATTATCCAAGTCTCCGTTCATCTGAAAAGATGCAGTAAAATACCAAGGTTATTTACCATCATGCGGCTATCCTTCAGCTCTTATTTAGCTCCTTGCTAATCTTAAAAGATAACTGGGAGACGAGTGTTTCAGTTCAATGACAGTACCTTGAGCTGTCTTGCAATTTCCAGAGAACTTTGGATATCATTTAGCTACATTTTTAAGATTATTTTGCTTGGCTGATTTTGAGAATTAGGAGAAACTGGAGGTACACATAAATAAAACAAGGCACCTCTGAATATAAACAGTTTGGTCATCACAAATTACAAAGATAAAAACACTGAGGGGAGCAAACAATGTCACAAATGCATCCTCTTAACAGAAGATTTGTGGATTTGTTTTGCATATATAGTGGATTTGTTTGTCACTAAACATGCTTCTCTGAACACGTTAATTTTAGATCTCAGGAGCAAGGACTGAAACCATGCATCGAGTATGATTACAGAGGAGTTAGTGACTTTTGCATCAGTGGTACTCAATAAATGTTATAAAGTGTTTCATTTATAGTCAGCCATTAGCTAATATAAAAATTGTGCAGTATTTTTTTATTTGCATAGTTATTACTGACTTGGGAAATCCAAGTTCTAAGATACCAGCATGTTTTCAGTAAACTCTGCCATACTGACTAGTGTTATGTACTTTGAAGCTGTTCCAAATGTTGACTTAGGAACTAAATACAAAAGAATTATTATATACATATTATAATTTGAAGAACAGCTGTGCCTAGCAAGTGTACTCCTGCTTTTGGGGGAGTTGCTCCATGGTGGTATTGTTTGCTGTATCATGACATTTCTTAGAATTGCAACTCTAGAAATACAGAAACAAATAAATATACATGCATTTACCTAAATGCTGAATATGTAAGCATTTGGGACAACATTTTCCTTCACTTCAGGAAAAAAAGGGTGGTAAAACCAGTGAATGAACTCGAACCGATCTATGACTATAGTAACTATTACACATTTTTGTGTATTGTTTGTACTTTCAACATGAAATCATGTTTCACCTTTCGCTACTGTATTGCCTACTGATTACAGAAGCAGTTACAGCTCCATATCCTATTAAGCCATGAAAATAAACATGTGTTATGTGAAACAGCAGGTGTTAAGGATCTGATTTTAAAGAATAATTTGTAAATATATGCTACCTTAGTCATACAGTCCAGGGCTGACAGGGCACATTTGTTTATATATATACCCTGTGCTTTTTCAGTTACAATCAAACCAGAGTGTATAGTTTCACACCATTTGCACAGAACTTTCTTAGAAATGCTTACACACACTTAACTAAAGTGTTCTGTATTTATCCATTCACTGTAATAAGAAATTACTGGTTTGCTCGCTACCCTCATTTTACATTATACTGTACCTCCTCCACTGGTTCTGCTTTTATTTTTGTCTCTTTTTCTTGACTAGAAGTAGGAATTGTAGAACTACTGCATTGTCCCATTTTATTATCTACATTTTCTACTTTAGGCTTCAACTCCTTGGAAAGTGGATCTTTAACATCATCTTTATCTAACAGGTATCTTAGTAAAGCGTTGTTTTCCTTCTTCTTTGGGCTCAGTTGCTCCTGTTTGACAGTGCCTTCTCCACAGGGGCCTGTATTACTAGTATCATGATACGTGTCTTTACCAGTAGCTTCAGCTGTAATCTTGGCTACTTCTGCAGGAGAATTACCATTCTGCAACAGTTTATGCAAAATCCGATGCTTCTCCTGCAGGAGGGACGTATGCATGTTTGAGGAGGAAGACACCCCTCCAGATGTTGATGAAGAAACTCCTGAAGGACTGGTAACACTGGTAGAAGATTCTTTACAGTTTGAGTCTAAAGGGGAGTTTGATGCTGTAGAATGCCCTCTTTCCTCTGAGGAGCACGTGAGAAGCTGAAGCAGTTTTTTATGCCCTTTGCTTTCAGATGGTCCTCTTTGACTTTCAGATGCCTCCAGATTTCCCTCTTTACTATCTTTTTCACTAAGGAGATCCCTGCTGTTTGACTGGCAGATGGAACTTTCCACTTGGTTTTGTTCACAGTACAAACCAGAAGGGCTTTTGGAGTCCTGGGTGCTTGTTTTACTTTGCGGAGCTATGCTCATGTTTGGGGAATTATCCAATTTTGGACCCGGTGAAGACAACGTTGATAAAAGAGAATTTCCAACACCCTCACTAATGGCTTGAAGAGCACTAAGAGAACTGCTGGAGAAAGTGCTGGTGCCGGTGTTGCTGGCAGATCCCATTGGAGAGTGCATACCTGTATCACATGACAGAGATCAAACTTATCAGACTACAGTAATGTCTGTATCTGCGTTTCCTTTGGACTATGTACAACTGCCACACTGAGTTAATTATTGCCCAGAGAAGTTGTGGCTGCCCCATCCCTGGCAGTGTTCAAGGCCAGGCTGGACAGGGCTTTGAGCAACCCAGTCTTGTGGAAGGTGCCCCTGTCCATGGCAGGGAGTTGGAACTGGATGAGTTCTGAGGTCCCTTCCAACCCAAACCATTCCTTGATACTATGATTCTGAAATAATTTTTTAGCATTACATTAGTTATATAAGGTCATACAGAACTGTTAAAAAGGATGAAAGATAGAATTCAGATAAAACCAAGAAAGGGAGATTAATAAAAGAGATTATAGCAAAAATAAAATACCTGTAACTGGAGAAAATTGGTGTGAACTCATTTTTGGACTCCCTCGATTCCTAGGAGATATCATTAGGTTCTGTTGGTTGGAAGTTAAACCAGGACTACCATGTGGTGGGCTACTTATATTTAAGCCGTAACTGTTGTTCTGGTAAGCTGAGGACTGCAGTCCGGGTCCAGAGTTCCCAGGCACCATATTACCAGGGCCTCCATATCGAGTGTTGTTGAGCTGACCCACAGCACTGGGATCTCCCATACCATAGCTCCTGCTCTGCACTGGCATGCCTTGGCCAGGTGACATGTTCATAAGACCACCAACAGAATTCGTGTTTCCAGCCACAGGTGTTCTGACATTTTGGCCAACTGAATTAGGATTTGGCCGATATCCATTTTGTTCTCTGTAAGTTTAACAACATACCCAGAAACCCCAAGAAAACAAATTAAAACCGTATACAGAATCAAGTGCTACAAAGACAGAAAACATAATTAAACAATTTTACAAATATTTTTTCAAAAGACAAGTGAAGATTCAATATTCCACAGAAGCAGAACTAAGCCATGCCACTCACCACTCGTTTATTCATTACAGAAGTGCTTGGTCTTTTAGGTGATTTGGGTTACAAGTACACACAGTATCTCTTCAAAAGGCTTTCATCAACAGCCATTAGTCAGGTTTATCAATTTAAACATCTTCCTTCTACTCCCTTCCTGTGTCAAGGCATGACACCTTTCTACTGTGCACACTAATGATGCCTTAACCAATCTCAGCTACTCATTTTTCAGCATCTGGAGGCACTTTAATGCCAGAAGCAGACAGATTCTCTCCAGAGTGGCATTTCAATTATTCTTGCAATCAACAAGAACAGGTCACATGAAGTGCTATTTAAGGTACATTTAACTTTGAGTCATCAATGATGCATCTGAGGGGGTTCTGTTGTCTTTTTAATTGGTCTGCAATTAAAAAGAGTAAGATAAAGCATCTAACTGAGCATTTCTATTTTCAGTGTTTCACCATTATAAATGTTAACCCAAAAGAATAACAAATACATGACACAAGCTCTATGTAGGTACTGAGGCAAAACCTCTCTTTGACTGTGACTTTCTGCCACACAGTTAAGTTGGAGCGTCAGTATTAGGGTGACATTTATTTGTATGCTATGCAGCTCTGCTTCCCAAGTTACTCCCCCTCTGCTTGAATCTTAATCAGGTAAAATATTTTTGTATCTTCAAGGTCAGATACGTTTTAAAAAGCTATGATACTTAAACGACAAAGAGATAGCACTGATTTCACCTTTGAAGAAAGTGGGTAGAGACAAATCCATGGCGGTCGTTAGTTACAGGGTTTCGAAATAGTTTACTTTTTGTCTGTGCTGTCACTATAGTGCCATCTGCTAAAGAAAACCGATACAGCGGTGTTTCAGCATGACCTTGTGTGTAAGCTGCAAAGGAAATACACAAATAGGGTTCACATTTTAAAAAGCAATATTACTAATATGCACTCTGCAGACTGATTGACACAATCTTGTAAAGATATACTAAATAAGAAATAATTAACCAGACACACCCAAGATAGATACTCAGAAAAAGCAAGTATTCCATGTTTTCTCCTAAATTTGGAAAGACAAAAACAAACAAGATTATTTTGCTGTTGCAGTAAATTGTGCTCAGCATGCCCAGCACAAAAAGTTCTGCATTTGTTAACACACTCCCAATGCCAGTTTAGCAGGTTTCCATGGCTTCTCCTTGGGAAAGTATTTTCAAGTTTAAAAGTTTTGCTTTATTAAAAAAATGTGGAAAGTATTGCTTTTAATCTGAGCTCCAAATTTTGGATTAAATTAGGGTTTATTTAATCAGATAAATTGAAGAACCTCCAATGGAATGGAAACTCCACTTTCTGCCAGTATGAGTTTCTCTTTATTTAATATCCCCTCTACTTGAATTACTTTGTGAATCCTTCAAAAGTATCACAGATCAGAAAACTTTAAAAATATCATCTTTCTTACTGAAGACAGTGGCTGTACTTCACTTTATCTATGAAGGTTATCAAATTAGCATTACAAAATACATAACACTGGAACACAATGTATTTTGAACCCTTGCGTCTTAAATAAGAAAAAGGCTGTTATCATAGCCTTTAACACAACTGCTATCACTTTTGTGAGCTATCCTTTAACAAAAGTTAAAATGAATTAAAATCAAACTAATGTTAAACAAAAATACCAATTTAAAAGATAATTAAGGATTAGATGCTATTACAGAAGTATAGCTGTCACTCATTATTACATGTGGCTGTGGAAAAACAACTTGTTTCGGGCTCTCAGATTATGTATCTCATATTTTCCATGATAATTATCCGTAGAGACACGTTAGAAAAAAAAAAATAGCTTTCACCAGAATTCCTATTTCTCAAGAGGACATCCTCCCTCAGCTGGTAAATATGAGTCACAGAAATTAACACGAACAAAAATATGGAAAAAGAGAACACAGGCAGAATACAGCATTTTTGTTTTGCAGAAAAAAATGCAAGCACAGGGAGCAGCAGCAGTACAACCAAACACTCCAAACGGATCTTCACCTTCATGGTAGTGGCGTTTGTTTGACCAAGACTGTCCATCATTATGGCACAGGAACCTCTGAATACACCTACGGATTATATCTTCAAAGCCAGGTCTCATGGAAGACCGCAATGAGTTTGTATCAATGTTGACAAGTTTGCCTGTAACAGGAGAGAAAATACACACATTAAATTCCTTATGTCTACACCAATCCTTTTGTATGAATGTGGTATGTTTCAGAAGGCTCCAATTTCACCATTTTAATTGTTCATGAGCCAAACACCACATCTTGAATATGCAGAAGTTACACTTACAGATTACCTGCCATATGAGAATATGATGCTGCTTGTTAAAACATCAATATTCAAAGGGATTTAGAGTTAGAGGAAGTTACTCACCCACAGGTTAATGCCAGAGCTTTAGAAAACAGTAGCTTTAGTGTTTGGTTACAAGGCACCCAAAGGATGCATACAGTAAGATTTTCAAAAATCCTGACCAACTACATCCACAAATGAACATCAATAAACACTACCTGGCGTCTGAAAAAGCCCCATCTACAATATATTCTTTCACTGTAAACTGCATAAAACACTTTAAGCATTAACTCATGCGCTGTACAAAAATACAAGCATTCAGTTATGATTTAAAATATTTCTTATGTGTAAAGGAAAGCACAATGACAACCATTTCAAACACTGCCAGGCTAACACACAAGCAATGCTTTGTACTAAGCTGCCAAATAATAGCATGCTAGCACACAGACAGAAAATGTGTCCCACTGCAACACAGTATATTGCAAAAAAGAGTTGGGAGATCTCAGTCCAAATTCTGATAGTCACTACAGATACACAATTCATTGGCATACTTGATTTATTTAGAAAAAGAGCACACGGACAAAACCAGATGCCTTCCTACCTTCATCTTGGGTATATTTCTCACCTGAAAGATCATGTCTTGTAATAAAGCTCTCTGGATTTGTTGGAAACACCCTTTCTGCAGTTGTGATACGACGTGCCACACAAATCATACAGGACTGCAAATCTGTATTTAAAAAAGAATGTTTCTTCTTTCATTTCTCTCCTGGTTTATTCTATTAAAGCATCCAATAAAATAGCTGAAGTGTCCTTGATTGTTAAAATGGAAGTATAGGCAATCAGAACTGAAGCTTTTGCATTCTGTTCCTGCTTACATATAAATGGATTGCAGAAGCTACAGCTTTCATGACACAACAAATACCAAAAAGTTTCACTCAAAGATTTCTTTTGTGCACATTGATTCCATAAAATTTCCTACCTTCCCCCTCTTCCATCATAGCTCTTGGCTGAGATAAAGCAAAACACTGCATTGTTTCATATCTTTGACGTACGTCCTGGTGGCTGCCTATGTCTTCCAAAAGATCATGAGAGGTTTTCATCATCATTCGGCAATTGAAGGTATGACTCTTCTGTCTGGGTGTTTCATTGGTCCAAGCAACTCCATTAACTTCAAAGAACACAAAGAATTTATAAAGATTTTCAGATAAAATAATTTTATAACTGACTTTTCTTAATCTAGATACCTTGTTCCTAGATTAGAGAGATTAAAGACTATTTTAAGATGCTTTCTCAATATAACATCAGTGTAATACCTTGGTATAAAATAGGAGTATCAAGAAGAAAATAAAAAACCCTCTTCCCCTTAAATGACAATTTCAGTCCCTTGAAGAAGAGCTGAAAAGTCATTCACGTATTTACAAAACAAGCAGTTCCCTCAGCTAGTCTCGTGGCATTAGGAAATAGATTCCTTTCGTATCCTTGGTTTAAGTTACAGGTAAACAAATTGCAAAGGCTAAAGTACAGCATGAATTTCCAGCACATTTATTTCTGGCGGTATCCTGTAGTAAGACAACAGTAATATTTTTCAATATTAACATATTTTTGTAGTCAAATATTCTTAGTACAAGTTATTTGTTTTGAAAGGTTATCCATTATTTTTTCTCCTCCAGTTGTTTCCAAACAGCCTAGTAACAGTGTAGTAAGTCAACTTTTATTACCTGAAGATTTAGGCAAGTTTTTAAGAAAGTCCTTCCGGTCCTCTTCATGCAAGATACCATAGACACTTGTATTAACCAAATCTTCTTGTTTGTATTGCAGATACTGTGTGACGTTTTCTGACACAAATACTATATTCCCGTCTCGATTTACAACAAACAGGAAACCATCTAATGCCTAAATATTAACATGACAACACAACATATAAGACACACCATCTAATTCTGAACATCATTTAGTTTAGAAACATCAAGCTGCAATACATGCAATGCTTTCCAAGGGCTGAGCAGAAGTTCAATTTTTTTTTCTCTGAGGAAAATTGTGTCTGGTAAAGAATTACTTCAATATTAAAAATTAACTTGCTCATTCGTTATTCCTTTGAGCTCTTTCACAGTGATAACAAGCCTTCTTGTTTCATTCTTGCTTTATTTGAACACAAGATAATGGATCTTTAACAATATTTCAATAGCTGGCAAACTGAAACAGGAAGAAATTCAGTAGAAAGAAGTAGCGAGACATGAGCATGAAGGCATTTCCACCAGTGAGTGACGAGATAAGAGAAGAGAGTCTATGTAAAACAATTAAGTTTCAAAAGTGCTTTTTAATGGACATTGGGATTGGTTTTCTAGGCACAAAGAAAAGGTATCTGCTGTGTACCTTTTCTTACAGTTATTCTAATGTTATTTTAGTTGATGGCAGCATTTGTTTAAAACACGACATAATTTAGAAACACAAACTCCAATACACATCACAAACCTCTAGTCTTTGCAAATCCTCATAATACCTATCCCCCCCCAAAAAAGCAAAATACTCTTTAGTATTACTAAGCACTGCTTTAGTAGTAATTTGCTAATGATTGCTGGAGAAAGTAAAACACAAGAACATGAGAAGAAGCCAAATGCTCTTCTTCTCTTTCCTTCTACAGAGAATTTCAGCAACATTTAGAAAAAATTATAGCTTTTATTCCTGATGCTTCAGTCACAGTTCAGTATAGTAGTTGCATACTATTTATTTCTATAGGATTGCAGGCCTTACTGTAATATTTTCACCTGCCTTAAATATCTGTTTCCATGCAAATTTACTAGGGCCTAATTTGTACTTGCCTGTAATAACAGAGGTCCCAATGAATCCTTATCAATAACTCCTTGACCCGTAGAGGATACATCAGCTTTCTGAACATCATCATCATTAGAAACTGCTTTTCCTGAAACCCAAAAGACACATTTTTACTAAAGCAACATTTCACATGAAGAGTATTACAAGCCAGGTTCTAGAAAGCGTGTGAGTGAAGGCAACAACAAAAACACAACCACGAATGAGAGAGGAGGTCTCATATATTGTGAGTTGCTTAAGACTAGAAAAAAGTTTTAGAGCCAATATTCCCAATGAGAAAATGATGCTAAATACTTATTTAAACAGAAAATTATGTGAGACATAATAAAGGTCTGGTTTAAGTCAAAGTATGAAGATATTCTCAGTTACATGCTATGGTAAAATCACTACTGTTGCTTTAGAAAAGGAATCACAAGAAAGCTAATTATTTATTTTGGCTTAGAAGGGAATTGTACCTTGCTCTTTTATCTGTCGAATCTGTCTCACGGTTTCTTTTAAAATAGCACATTTGTCTGGTTTAACATTGAAATTGTCAATGTCACTCAGATTAGCAGATATGAGTTCAGCCAGTTCTTCAATGTATTTGCTTTCCTGCTCCCGCCGACGCTTCTCACTGCTGCAGGTCAGGCTAGGAACCAAAAACATCGTTTCATGTACTGACATACCAGCATATACAAAAGCTGCACTCACTCTGTAAACTTTAATATACTTTATGTAACACCTACCTACATAAGCTTAGGTAGTAGTCACTCTTCCAACCACCACAAATCTGAAGGGGAGGGGGGGGGAAGGAGGGGAGTGGGGGATTGGGGGGGGGGGGGTGTTTCAGGTTTTCTTTAAAGAATTTTAAGTACCAATTTATCATCAGGGGATGTGAGAAAAAGCTACTCATCCATAAAATCCCCTTGTGATCACTCTATCATCAAATTTCATGAAAACAGCAATTCCCTGTTCTAAAATTCTAACAGTCATACAGAAAGTGTATTTTAACCTTCAAAGTCACTTTAGATTTGTTTATAATTTATTAAATGAAATAGGATTTTAACATTCTTGGTTTGCTCATGAGATGACAAGATGACTACAGAAGGTGATGCCTCAGAGGTTTCTAGGCATCAGGTCAAAAATGCCATCTCAACATCCAAGAAAAGCAGGATCCCAGACAACCTAATGTTGCTGGATAAAGTCTCTCTGAAATCCATTTTCCTACATAGGTTAATGTGCTAAGTAAAGACACTATCTACAGCCTAAATCAACAGAGAGAACAGTGTCATACACAGACTATGCCAAGAGTAGGAGAAGAACAACTCAGGAGAAAGGAAAGGAGGCAAAAATGGGCACACTGAGGGAATCAAAAAAGAATTCATATTCTTTAAGAAGAAACCAAGTGAAAGAGTTAGGGGAGTATGGATGGACCAATACTGGAGAAAACAAATACATGACAAAGCAGGGGCTTGAACAACTGATAAAGCTTGCGAAGGGTGACAACCTGAAAACCAGAATTCCTGAATGGACAGACACTGGAGAAAGAGCAATTGGAATAAAGGGCATTCACAAAGAGACACTGGGATAACAGCGGGAGAATCTGAGGACCTCATACATGGTCTGTTGCATGATGGAGGTAATAAGCATGGGACAGTGAGGACATATATGAAGGGAGATATATGAGTACACATGACGCACGGTATTTGGTGAATCTGAAGACAAATTTAAGAGAGGTTAATACTCTGTGAGAACAAGAACATGAAACAGTAACATGTGGTGGAGAGCAATAAGGTTGAAGGGGGACAGAAAACCGAGTCCTTCAGATAACAATTTCTGACAGAGATGAGTGACGGTGTCAGGATTTAAGCCCAGCCAGTAACTCAGAACCACACAGCCACTTGCTCACTCCCCTCTTCTTTCCTCCTCCTCCCAGAGGAATGGGGAGGAGAATCAAAAGAGTGTAAATCCCACAGGTTAAGAACAGTCCAGTAACTAAGGTATAACACAAAACCACTACTACCACCAATAATAATAATGATAAGGGAAATAACAATGGGAGAGAATATAAAACTAATAGGGGAAAAGAAAAAGAAAACAATAAACGTAAGTGATGCACAATGCAATTGCTCACCACCCGCTGACCCAGCCAGACCCAAGCAGCAATCTCAGCTTTCTGGGTAACTCCCCCCAGTTTATATACTGGACATGACGTGCTGTGGTATGGAATACCCCTTTGGCTAGTTTGGGTCAGGTGTCCCGTCCCTGCTTCCTCCCAGTTTCCCCTCCTCCCTGGCAGAGCACAAGACTGAAAAAAGTCCTTGATCGGAGTAAGCATTACCTAGCAACAACTAAAAACATCGGCATGTTATCAGCACTGTTCTCAGACTAAAGTTGAAAACACAGCACTGCACCAGCTACTAAGAAGGAGAAAAATGACTGCTACTGCTGAACCCAGGACAGAGAGGCAGGAAGACAGCACAGAACTCCAAAATTTCAGAGGAACTTGGAAAGAACTAATCTGGAGAAATGGAAGTTAAAAAAAGCTCAAGCTACTGCGGTATGCTGTACTGACCACAAACCACCTGAACTGAGGGAACATGAAGTAAACTGGTAATTACTCAATCACCAGATAGAAGATTCTGCCTTTGACATTTCTGTGAAGCAAGAAGTTTTTCTTCTTTTGCCTTGCGACCACAACTTTGAACAGTGATTCCTTATATGCTCACCCTATCAGGATTTCCACAAGAGTCTAATTATAGAGCAGAGTTCAGTTTTGGCAGATCTATGCATACTAGTAAAGCTGTGTATGTTCACTACAGAAATTAGCCTAGAGCATTTTTCAGTTGAACAAATTAGTTGGAATTCATTCTAAATTGCAAAGAAAACCTGAAAATTACTTTTTAAAAACTTATTTTAAAAATTTAAAAAAAGAGAGAAAGATCTATATACACCTACCTTGCAGCTGGTGTATCACAAGGTAATTGCTTGCGCTTCCTTGACTCATTGGTCAAGCTATCCAAGGAGTTTTCTCCTAATCCACTCATCTTGACCATGCATCAGCAACTAAAGGCAATAAGATAAAAACTGTGAATGCATCTCTGAAAACACCAATTCCAAAGGCAGAGAACTTTCCTGAATAAGTTACTTAATCAGATTTATGAGCATTTTTACTGTAAACCCATAAACCTTTATACTATTGAAAATATTTGGTTACTATTTTTTAAAATTCCATTTTGCATTTTGCCAAAACAGAGGTTTTAAAAGGTTTGTATCAATGTAAGCAAAAATCAGTGCAAAAAAATGCATTCAATTTGATTCTGAGATGTTTACAATTTTGCTCCATCATACTGGGACCACTCTATAGCTCAAGCTCGTCTGAAAATAAAAACATTCTCAGTGTTTTAACATTTGTTTAGTTAACTTGAAAAGAAAGTGGTTCCTTAATATGTTATGCCAAAATGGAGTTAAATACTAAGGATGAAGCTAGACCCCATTAAAGAAAAGGCCAAGTGATACTCTTAAGGTAATGACAAATGGATGACCAGAACACTGAAAATAAGAGAAATGCTGAATAAAATTTCCTTTTTTGTATGCTCCCTTCTTCTCTTCGGGTGATCTAACCACTGCAGCTACAGCTCCTTGACATCCTTGGAAATAAATCAGGGGGCTTAAAGGATTTTCACACCTCGCTCAGCATAAAGCTGACAGATTACTGTTACCATCTCTGGCTCAACAGGTTACTACAGTCTTAACTTCATGTCTCTTGCTAAACCTTCTAAAACATTTTCCTAAAGCCTTGAGGACAAGGCAAGCAAAGACTTCAGAACTCTTTCAAATCTATTGCTTCTGCAGCAAAGATTGGGCCATAACCCAATAAAATAATAGGTTATTTGTGTTAAAGTCTAGGTATGTTAAACAAGCCTGGGGGATGATATATTCATAACCCTGATCTCCACTCACTCTCAAGAAGAAAAAGGAACACAACCACAGAGGCAACAGCTATACCAGATCCTGCTATGCTGCAATCAACAACATGCTGAGGGAGGAAAACAACTTTGTAATGGATTTATGCTATTTATATAGCCAGAGTATTTTAGAACATAATCAGAAACAAAATGATCTAATAATTTGTATTTGGTTTTCTGTACCAAAGTGACAAGACACACCTGGGCAGCCAGAAGCTTAGCATTATTTCATCTTTTCAACAGAAATTGCCAAGTTAAATGTAAATTTCGTTTGCCCTGTTTAGGCAGGGATGCAGCCTAGTCCAGCCTGCAGTTCTTTACCACATACAGCAATAGCAGTAACTGATACTAAGCATTCAGGCAAGACAGTTACAAATTTTAACTGGGGAGAAACTTTTCCATAACATATAACCCAGGTACTAATACATCTTTTGGGGAAAAAAAAAGAGCTCTTTATGGATCTCCACCATTACTACAGCTATTCAAAAAAGAAAAATCCCTTGAAGTTGCTGAACACATACCACAAGGACAAAGAACTGACAGACACACTTTCACCTAAATGAAGTTTACATTAAGATATTAGAGGCTGGTCGCCAACTGACTCAAAGCATGTCTGCAGAACAGGACCTGGCCACCCTGGTGAACAAGAACTTAGTTCAACTGAAGTCAGCAGTGTGCCTTTGCAGCAAAGAAAACCAACCCTTAGGAAGGCACCTAACCAACTGCTTCCAGGACAAGACATCTGAAGAAGAGAAGTGTGTGTGTTATTTCTGATGTACTAACCTTGACTGACTGGATTATTTTGCTTACTGGCTTTTTATGACAAAAAATGTAATACTGCTCGAGTTCTTTCTGAAGTCTAAACTGAAAGGGCAAAGACACACAAGAACATATTTGCATGAAGCAGCATGGGAGCTGCTTGCAATAGCTGATGCTGTTACTGCAGGGTGTCTGCAGGTGGGGAATTTAAAAGGCCATTCTTACAGCAGTACAACCTTTGAAAGCTAGACAGGACAGAGGAGTGCTGCCGCACTGAGGAGTACACATTGGATTACCCTGGCACGTGTACAAAGCTCAGAAGTAAAATGGCATCTCTTTAAAGCACGAGCTCTCTCTGCAGCTAAGCAAATGTTACAATACTTGACATAAAATTGTATTTATAACCAGTCCTCACCAAACTGACAGACATCAGGAGAGGAAAGATAATATACTTTGTACATCACAATAAAATTAAAAACAATAGTGAAACATAACCTTGCATTTGAAATAAACAATTCCAAAAGATGCCCAACTCTGTAACTGAAGTCAGGGACTGCACAGTCATAGATGAGAAATTTGGTTTGTACCTAAATATTTGATACAAAACCTGGATGCCATGGAGGGATTATACAAAACCCAACATACAGAGAGACCATATATACCTCCAGGGGAAAACCTCTCGAATACATTTACAGCAGCTCACCTTACGTGAGGATCAAGAAAAATACATTGTTATGCCACTAGATGACAGTGTCGCACTGAGCAACTGCGGAGATAGCATTTTTTTACAATTAAGCAGCGGAATGAAAAACTACTCATCTGAACAAATAAGCAGTTCCAAAACCAGATAACACAAACAGGCTATGATCATGCGAAAAGCAGCTGATTATCTGAAGCTCGCAGAACATATGACTCATAAGGTCTGTGCCTACAGAGCTCGTAGCTAAGGCTGAGTCCTGGAGTCATTCTGTAGGTGACACACGCACACTCCAGGACTGGTGCCTCCCTCCCTGGAACTGCATTCACAGGCAGAGCACAGAGCTGCAGGGTTAAGAGCCACTGCGGAAAAAGAAAGGAAGAGCTTAAAATATAAGGCTTAAGGATAGCTCAGGAAGGGTGTGGGCACACCAAGTACGTCAGAAGCCAGGAGTAAATTCTATTTAAGAGAAGGAAAGATTTAAAATACATTAAATAGTTGAAAATTTGAGCTAGGAGACAGACATTTCAATGGAATGTAATTACACAGGTAACAGGGCTACAGTAAATGATTTAGAATGAAATGTCATTGCTGATTTAACATCCACCTCTACTGACAGATAACTCACAATATGATTAAATAGAAAACCAAAAATGACTATGTTTTGTCTCAGAGATATGATACCTATCAGAGAATGCAACTCTGCTTCTATTTAAGAAAATCTTGCAATGCCTAAATATAGAAGCTTGGAGAAGGAAGGAAAAATTAGGTAATATGTGTAGGCTGTTTCCCTACTATTACACCCAAATAACTTGTGATAGTTTATTCACGCCTGAAGCCGCAGAGTCCCTGTACATGTATTTTCCTTTCCCTAAGAGTATCATTACAGCCTGGGCAGGGATGTAGTGCCTAGAACAACTCTCTAACTGTTTAGCTAAGGAAATTACAGAAGCTGCTTCCCCATACAGATGGATTTACAGTACAAATTGTTAACAGTCAAACTAATCTCCCTCCTACAAGAAATATTCACAAAAGAAGCTATTATTCAGTGAGTTAATAATGAAAGAAATCACCAGTTAGAAAGTACCAGGTGTTACATTTATTCATTCAATATAAACCTATAATTTCTAGTGAGCTAAAAAGTTTTTCCAAAAAGAAATCTATTTTGGGGGTATTTTCATAGAATCAGAGTGGTTTGTATTGGAAGGGACCTTAAAGCTCACTCAGTTCCAACCCCCACCAAGGGCAGGGACACCTTCCACTAGAGCAGGTTGCTCCAAGCCCCTGTGTCCAACCTGGCCTTGAGCACTGTCAGGGATGGGGCAGCCACAGCTTCTCTGGGCACCCTGTGCAGGCACCTCAGCACCCTCACAGGGAAGAGCTTCTGCCTAAGAGCTCAACTCAATCTCCCCTCTGGCAGGTTAAAGCCATTCCCCTTGGCCGGTCCCTACAGGCCCTTGTAAAAAGTCCCTCTTCAGATTTTCTTGTTGGCCCCTTTAGGCAGTGGAAGCTACTCTAAGGTCTCCCCTGAGCCTTCTCCAGGCTGAACAAGCCTAGCTCTCTCAGCCAGTCTCTGTCAGAGAGGTGCTCCAGCACTTCGAGCATCATTTTCCTGAAGCTAATCATTATTTCAGAAGACAGCTCTAAATTCCTGCTTTCTAAAGTTTAAACTTTCATGCACTTTTACTACTAGAGGCAAAAAAGTTCAATACAGCCATCTTTGTAAACTTACTTTCTGAGCTAAGAGGAAATTGCATTATTTCTGGCTCAATGAACCTATAATGCTGACTCCTCTGCTAGTTACACTGCAAAGTATTACCTACCTAAGCAAAGCATTTTTTGAAGAAAAGAATTACACAGTGAAATTTTATCTACTGTATAATTAAAATACACCCAAAACCTAGCTGAATTTGCCTCAATAACTCAATTATTACATAAAGCCAGCCAAATATAAGAAATTCTGTTAAATTTTAAATAATTATGATAACAGTGAGTATTATGAGCCTGTCAATATGCACTACTATGTATTTTTTAATTAATTTGTATACAAGTACTTGCTTGAATGCAGAAAGCTACAGCAGATTGATTGCATACAACGATGAAGAAATGCTGAATAGAAATTCTATCCAGTGATAAACAACTAGATTTATGGAAAATTGATGTGTTCCTACTTTATATCATTTATAGAGAGAATTTCTTGGGACTGCCAAATTTTAAGGCCAGGTAGGGAACAGTACTGTAAATGTCTGCTAGTCTGATGACATCAGCATGAGCAGCTAATTTTAATTTCTAAATTAAACTGTCCATGTTGCTCCACTGTTCTGGAATCCCTGGTTATTTTCACCAAGCAGTTAATAAAATAAAAGCATTTTATGCTACATTCCACTTAGCTATTGAAGAGATGACACAAAGCCACACTATGGTTTTGCAAAAGTTATTTGAAAAACAAAGTCCTACCTCTTGCCAAATAACTTAGACAGATATACATCTGTATGAAATAGTGAATCTTAAAGTTGAACAGAAGCAAATACGTCCAGAGCCCTCCAGAGTTCATACTCAACGCAAGTTTGAGAACCAAGATAATGTAAAACATGGTTCAAAGTTCCAGACTTTTATGATTAGTTGCCAACACTACGTACTAGTTTCTGCATTACTACTTGAGTTCATATATAACCCAAATTTTTCAAACTTTCTCACTTATCAAAAATGGGAAACAAGAGAACAAAAAATAACAAAGACCTTTTTGCTCATCAGTACGTGCATTGAAAAAACATTTGTAATTATTAATAAGGTGCACATCTACATCCTTTGCACTATAATACTGTTCACAGGTCAGGGCTACTCATTTTTAGTGAAAAATATAGATGAATTGTTAAAAAGGTACCAGGTTTTGCACACGAAACAAGTTCTAGTAATTATTGTGACAATACATGTATGGCCTTCCAAACAAAGACCTAGAATTTAAAAGAATGATCAGCGTTTAGGACTAGTATTTTGCAACCTGTCAGTGTTTTGATATTTTGACAGGCTAAAAATAAATAAATAAAATTAGCTTCTACAGTTCCATCCTGGACTACCAAGAAAAGGATGTATATGCTGACAGTAGAGTAGGTCTGAAATTGGGAAAGCTCCTAAACCATTTCCTAGACAGCACTCAAGTAAAAAGGACATTGAGAAATACTAAGCACAGTAAGCAAAAAGTTTTAGCTTGGTATTATAGTTTCTTCCCTGGTCCTACCTCATCCTCTCACTAACTGGAAAGCTACTAACTTAACAGCACCCACTGGACCACTTTGTGGTTCTTCATCTTTCAAAGCACTGGTTTTCTTCTCAAACTCAAGCATTATCCCTTTGTGCCTGTGTTCTCACTAGCTGCAGCTGAAAGACCTATTCACCAAACAGGACATGACAACTGGGAAGAGTTTGTCCTAACAGGGGCCCAAAAATACAGACAACTGGATGCTTAAGACTTAGTTTTTATGTTTGTTTAGCTACAATTGTTGACCACACACACACAAAAACCCAACCCCCCCAAAGCACAGCTATACAATACTAATTTAAAACATATCCAAACTATTTGGAGAAAAAAAGAAGTATTATTTCCATAAAAACAGTTTTAGTACTTCTTTGGTCCCATGAAGCCATCAACTTTTTCCTATACCAAACACATGTACTTGTATCTTGCATGCTTGGAAGCTCATCTGTCTAAGCTGATTTCCTGTTTGAAAAACTTGCTAGGGAAAAAGCATAAGCTGGTTCTTAGTGTTCCGCAGAATAAACCAATTATGAAGAATTCAATCAAAGCAGTCCTTTCCAATGAGTCATGAGGATGGTCTGGATTTTTTTTTTTAATTGTATGTAATGTCAAAATACTAAATATAACCCTGCTTTCTAAAAACCAGGAGATGAGTCACAATTTTTTACGATGCAAACTCTAATGGAATAGCTGGTTTATGCTAAGAGAAGCCCCAAATATTTAAATTTCACTTGACATAAATAAAACTAGAGGAAATTCCATTCAGCAATTCTGTGTTCTTAATGAAAACTTGTTATTTCAAACTTACATTTCCCTCAAATACACATATGTAGGAAGTATAAAAGCTTTCCAGTGAAACTTCTGATTCACAATATTCTTGGAACTGTGCAAAGATTCTAATTGTTACAAGTCTGACAACAGACACAACTGATGTTCCCAGTTACACAGACAGGATTCAGCAAGAAAAACTTAGAAAACTCACTTTATGACAGTAGGGAAGCAAAGGGGTGGTGGGGAGGGTGATTTCCTTTTTTCCTCTTTTTTAAGAACATGCCTCATATACTTGCATGTACAATTTGTAAATTATAACTCTAAAAACGATAATGTAATAACTATCCAGGTACATAGAGGTCAATAACAAAATCAGTCACTTACTTGGCCTTAGCAAACTTTCAAGCACAGCTTATTTTTCAGAGGACCTTCAGAATCAGAAGTCATTTTAAGTCACATCCTGAAAAACAAAAAAATGGCTTTATTAAAAAAGAAAAAAAGCTTGCTTGAATTTTTACATCTAATGTTAATAAACTTGCCAAAAAAGTAAGCACTCAATAGTGATCTATTTTAATGCCAAATGACTTTAAAACTCGCAATCACTGCAACTAACTGTCATCTCTGCTATCTGCTAAACAGCTCAAAAGTCTTAATACCACAAATGTCACAGGTAAGCTGGATCTCCTCTCACAACTAAATGTATTTAAACAATTTTTTTTTTAACTTTGGAAGAAATAATGAAAACTGCTGTACATGGTTGATTTTAGTAAATTTTAAGTCTTAATATAAAAGCTGCAGCCCCAAATTAATTTTTTGTAAAATTATGACTGGCATGTAAAACTTCAGTGCGTAGCCACTATGTCAGCCTGTGCACACTGCCTGGTACATAACTATCACCTGAGAATAGCAAACTGATTTCAGAGCTATGAACACTCAGGTTTCTGTGTGCAATTGTAGGAATGATTAATCCACATTATCATGCATTTTATACAAGGTATGATTAAGTGTACTAATTAGTGGGATTCTGGGTCTCTATAGAGAATTACAGTAACTTAGGAAAAGTTTTAAACAACAGCTGTGTGATTGAATTGATTTACTGAAAACTGCTTAAAGCACTACGTAAAGCAGGGGCTGTTGAAGCCAATTAGAAAAATAAATTGCTCTTGGGAATTATTTATGAGCCATTCACATGTAAGCACACACCATAGTCCTATCCAAAATCAAGAGTTTCCAAATTGATACTTTTACCCAGACTACTTAATAGGTAATCACCAGCAGGCAGGTAAATGAGTTTTATTCAAGTACCACATTTCTTAAGAAATTAAACCGAAGCTTTTTGTATCAACTGGTTGCATGTGCATTCATCTGCTGGTTTAACCATTCCTCTGACAATACTGATTGTAGCTTTATTTATACCAACTGGAATTACCAATTAGAAGGTTGATTGACAATGTGGTCACGTAAAAGTAAGCATCAAGAGTAAATTGTCTCCTAATTAAAGACTTCTGTAACACCATTTTATGCTAAATCAACCTCTGCTGATCATGGAAACCAGAACAAAAGCACACACAAGGAAAAATAGAAGGGAAAAAAAAAGAATGATTGATTTTAGCCATATTATGATGCAATATCAGAAACATTTGGATATCACAGAAAATGAAATTCTTCAGCTGTTTGTTTCTGCAAAAATGCTAAACCAGACTTACACTACACTCAGTGATAGCTTCCTATCTAGCTATGGTCTCATAGCCAAACAACGGCTATTTTCCGAGATCTCCACTGGACAGAATTTATTAAACAAAAAGGTTATAAATCACGTTCACCGTCTCATGTGCAAGCTTTTTCATCAAATTTCTACAACAGCTTGGTAAACTGGATAAACAAAAGCCATTAAAGAGAATCACAAATGGATCTCACTGAGAAGTTGATCCAAGGAGGAGAAATTAACATCACAAAATCTCTTAAAGGTGGAAGATTCAAAACCCACAAGTATCAAAAGGATTCTGTATGACTGGACATGCAAGGGTAAAGAGAAGAACCCTGAAAATGTGTTAAATTGAAGACCACATAAAAACCTTGACACTGTATAAATTAGCTTTAGAATATTCCCTTCATATTCCTCTCAAATAAATATTAATTCAATGGATGTCAATATATGAGCTGTTTAAACAGATGGAATACAACTTCCCAAAGAAGTACTGCAGTAAAGTAACTAAAAGCTAACCTTCTGAACAATCTGAAGGCTCCTAATGGGTTAGAAAAGGGTTAGCAAAGGCACCTAGAGTAGCATTTCACTCATCTGGTCCGGACAAATGCTGCAGAGCCCCATCCTATGAGAACTGTCAATTTGCAGGGCAACCCAGACAGACACTCTGAATTGTGTTTCACAGAGCAGGATGAAATTAAACCAACCTGAAGGAGAGATGAAAACCTTACCAGCAAGCCATAAAGTTAAGACAAAATACAATACAGCAAAATTTTGCCATATATCAAAAGTAAATTTGACCTCAAGTTACTACCACTATAAATAAAACAGGTTATTAAAATTTTATAATCTAAGAAGTCATTACATTGCTATCATCTACTGGCAGAGGTTGTCCAGAGAAGCTGATGACTTTCCCATGCCTGGCAGTGTTCAAGGCCAGGTTGGACAGGGCTTGGAGCAACCTGGTCTAGAGGAAGGTGTCCCAGCCCATGGCAGGAGGTTGGAACTGAATGAGCTTTAAGATCCCTTCCAACCCAAACCATTATATGACTTAAATGAAAAAATAAAATACATCCCTCTTTTTCAATACTACTTGGGCTTTTCTTGCTGATGAAAGCCATATCTTTTACGTACTGGAAATTGACCACTCAACTCGGTTATCCCTACTCTAAACCTACTACATGCCTCCCGAGTACAGAGGTAACAGCCAACTCCTTAACCTTTTTAATACATAAAATATTTTACTTCAACATTGTTTCTGTTCTTATTCACATTAATTAGTTTAGGTTATTACAGTGTCTATTAGAGTATCAGAGTGATATTAGAGCATCAAAGCACAGTCATGTACCAAGTGATTGCCAGTCTCGGTATTCTTCTAAAAGCTCAGCATCTGGTGCTGTAGGAGCAGCTTCTCCCTCAGCTCTCACTACCCCAGTACCACTTTCAACATGTGAACATACTATTTCGTGTCTAAAACCTGCACAACCAAAAAAGCACGAGTGCTCAAACAAAAACATTGTTTGATCGGTTTTCGTCTCAATAAGCTCAACATAGTGACCTTCAACTTATTTCCCCACCTTCAGAATGAGCTACAGAGATACTCAGTTTACACCAAAGAGAAACTGGGCATCCAGCAGAGCCTGGCTACCAAATTTAATTTTCATTATTACACACAGTCCAGTTTTCAATTCAATTTTTAAAACACATACAAGAAGGAACATTACATTAGAGCGTGGATGGGATAGCTAAGTGACAAGGCATATTATTGCCTGTGGCACAGACAACAACAACAATATAACAGAGCTAAGGCTGCACCGGTTAAAAATATACATATTTTATATTCATAGTCAAATGTGCCAGATATGGCAAACACAATGGTTACTTTTTGAAAGAAGATATGACAAGGACAGTCTCTGTAATCCTCTTTAAATGTTTCAGAAGTAATTAATGAGCCTGTTTAAGAAAGAAATCAAATACACTTCCAACTACAGTACATAAAAACAACATATTTTTAAACCTCTGGCAGAGGGAAAAATTGCGGCAGATAAAATGCCAATGAACTTTAACTACAGCTTTGTGAATCTGAAAGTACAGACTACTGAAACAGCTAAAGAGACTCAAGTACACTGAGTTAACAGAGGTTTTGGCATACTGTAACTATTTTGTACTGGAAAGTCTTATCATTTAAGATTAAAGCAGCTATACTTACATTATGAAGCAAACAGCAAATTATACTGATACATCACTATCCTAATCTAGCGCTTCCATCAGTACAATAACTAAAAGTACTCTTCCAAAATATACGTGTTTGATCATTCTCTGCTCTTTTTTTCCCCACCCCGTCAGCCAAAAAGGTCATTTAGGAGATAATAAATAACTGCCTCGGAGCCTTCACTGAGTCAGGCCTGTTAGTTAAAAATAAAAAAATTAAACCTCTCGCAGCCAGTGAAGCACACACCTTGTTGCAACATGTTAAATAATCTTAACTCAGCACACATCCTTTTTGTATTAAACCTTCTGTCTTAGGGAGACTATAATTCTTCGAGCCTTGTCAGGTTTCATTTACCAATTCCCCTGCAGTGTTTAGTAAGCACTATGCACTCCTGAGCTATTTTTCAGACATGACAATTAACTTGAGCCTTGTTCACTTTGCATATATTAATATGACAGGACTCTTTCAGTTAAAGGATGGTCAGAGGCACACACTCAGAGTGCGTCTCCTGTTCCTCTGATAAATAATGTGTGTGCTCTATTTCTGAAGTATCGTTACTTGTTTCCTATACATCCCTGCTTCTAGTCACAGCAGTAGATACAGGACCCTGCTATAATAAATAAAACGAAAGAGAAAAGGGGGGCTCCCTAGTCTCTATGCTTACACCTCCACCATGTACTGCTGAACACTTGTAAAAGTTTCTTACCCATCAGCTTCCGCACCAAGCCCTGTGGTGAAGTGGTTTCTGCATCTCATCACAGGTCCAAAGACACATGAGCCACATTTTAGACTCAGAACAACTGCTGCCCTCGTAACTCAGCTGTGAAAAGCCAACTTCTTTGGCTAGACATGTCTGTCAGGATACAGCTCTTGTAAGTGAAAGGCAACTGGGCATGATGCAGCCACACCACCTACTTGAATGAGGCTGGCAGCAAGAATTTGCATGCTTGAAAACAGCAGGCCAAAATAATACTGAAGAGGGCTTCAATCTTAATTTATTTCCAAGCCACTGTACTGGAAGAGGTAATCTGGTCTTTCAATATTGCTGCTAGCATCAGCTGAGTGGTTTTAGAATATATTTAGAATGTTTTTAACATAGGTAAATCCTCATAGACTTGTATTGGAAGAGTTAGTAACAACAGTTACTTAAAAAATAATTTAAGATTCAATAAATGCATATAGAAAGAAAAGAAATCCTGAGCTCAAATACGACAAAGAAAGAAATAGGATGGGATGTCTGGGCTACCATAATGGGATTTGGTAACTACTGAACCGGTAAGAAAGCACAGGCTACCACCATTCTTTTTCTGGACCTCCAGACATTTAACAGCAGAAGATAGGCAAATTAGCAGTTGACTCAAATACACGTCTATTTAGGTGTTATATTAATATTTAATGCAGTTCTAAAAGTAGAAAACGCTTCTTCACACCATCCTTTCAAGAAACAGTGGGTACTATGGGAAGAGACTCTACTTGTGAACAGTGCACAAACCTCTCCGCTATTACTAACAGCAATTAAATTCTAAAGAAAAAAATAAAAATG